CGAAAGGAAACCGGCAATAGACGCGATCAGCAAAGAAACTCACCAACAACGTTTTTCCTGTCCCCGGTGGACCGAGTAGTAACGCACCTTTGGGTAGTTTTGCTCCGAGTGCTTGATACTTTTTGGGATTTTTCAGATAAGTCACAAACTCCATAACTTCCTGTTTGCTCGCGTGAAGCCCGGCAACATCCTGATGGAAAACATGAGCAAACAATACAGTTCGGGAGGGAGGAGGGGGTAGAGAATAAATAAAAGACAGAGTATCGAAAACACCAGTCACAGCTTCAGAACACAGAACTAGGACGATAACACCGAATCTGAATGTGAATGTGAGATTATAGGTTTGTCCAATCAAACTCCAAATTAGGAGAGAACCAACATATAACACATGCATACCGACGTGATTGGCGTAAGAAACACTAACCAGCTGATGACTTATAATTTGTTCGTTTGATGGAATTCTTAGTCTCGGCAACTTCGAATGGATGCATGTTCATCACTTGCACACTTCACACGTGTCTACTCATAAGTAGCCAAAGTTTTTTTAATATATAAATTGTTTGCGCCAGAGCTCTGCAAGCCGAATCAACGACTGACATCTATAGCAAAGTTAATATCCGTCCAATTGATCGAAAAAACCGAGGGAAAATACCTTGAATTTCACGTTTGTGGTGACTGGTTTGATGGACTGGANACGAAAATGGTAAACCAGGACCGGGCCGATCTGCTGGTGGTCGAAAGGTTTGATCAGACTCTTTCGGGGGCATCGTTTCTGTGGTGGAATTCGGTTCTTGATGGGGCCGCTTGACACGTGGATCCATGGCACCTCCATAACGGTATGATGGTGTTTTCATGGTGGATGTGATCACACGGAACTTGCCTTGTTTGGCCAAAAAGTATAATACCAAGGTCGAAACTACGGCGCAAACGAGAACCGTGCCGGCGATTAATGAGAACGGTGAACGACCGGAAGAAAAATCTTCTCTGCGAGGAAGATATGAAAGAGATCGGGAATTAGGCGAGAGGATAAATGCACCGCAATTACGTAAAATTTGTGCAATGGTGTGGAAGTAATCGTACCAACGATTTAGCACCAACAGAATGATCATAAATAAATTAAACTTAGCACTAGTTATTCAATCAAAGAAAGAGGGAACCCGATCTAGCGCAGCTGAGGACTAACATTAACCTAGGGCATTTTGCAGACAATTGATCAGATAGCATGAGTCAACATCACATCGGCTTTCTCGTTTCACCAAATCTTATGACAGTCATTGGATGGAATGCAAACACCTTAAAACCAACTTGTACATATCAATTGAATAAGAAGCAGATTAAAGCGATTGAGACCGATGGGACCGTTCTCGTGTTTGCTTAGGTTTCTTTGACGATTTGCAATCTACAATACAGACAACGAGAGACAATTTGTGCTTGACCGTTTCAGAGGTCTGAACTTCGGTAAATTCCTAAGTTATCATGAACGCATAGCGAAAAGGAAAAACAGATACGAAAGCGACGGAACCGTGGAATAGGGCTGAATTATGATCTTTACCTTATGATGGTCTATTACGTGCAATAGCAAACCTTTGTAATGATTATATCGAGCAAAAACAACATGAGACAACTGCGATTAGTAATAGCGTAAGTCGTTGTCATCAGATTGCTGGAAACCCTTGTATCTAGCGCTCCATAAGAGTCGACTAGATATCCGATGACGAGTACATACCACTACTACTCTTGTGAGATACTATTCACTTGTGAGTAGTGATTTATTTCAACGACCAAAAATCAACAAGATCACCGAGGGCAATTTTCTGGGTCTCAAAGAGTAACTATCGATTGCGAGATTCATTACTCGTCGTGTGGACAGGAACTGTGATGGTGTGTCTCTGATTAGGTTTTTGGTACTCTCTATTCCAAATAATTGATGTTCCATCTGTGATCCTCAACAAGCGAATATCCTCGACCAGTACTGCTTTTTGGAACGGGGGCAAGTGAAAACCTGGCTGGACACTGTATTCGAAGACGTCGACCAACTTAGCCTTCGGATAGTGTACGGCACTCGCCGATAGAAAACAAACTGGTTTAACGCTTGCAGGGATCTCGCAGCCAACCACCAAGCAAGGATCGCGACCATCAGAGACATTCATGGAGCCGGCTTATCCTTCACAAGGAGCCAGCCGTAGCAAAGTAGAGTAAGTGCACGATCCGATACGGTTCCAAAGGGACTGTGGTTTTCAAATGCCGAGGCCACAAAGGTCCAGTTGTGGATAGAAGCCATTGGACAAAATCTTGGCAATAATACCTTCCGGAGCACCTCGTACGAACATTATGGGGACGATAATTTCATTCTCACGCAGCATATTACCTGTATCTCCTGTATCCCACAAAACACAAAAAAACGATTTCACGGGATTTTTGGTAGTAAAAATACCAGCCGCAAGGGATGCATGATGCTACGCTATATTGACCGAAAAACCATTCCACCTCATCCCACCTCTCTACACCTCCATCTTCTTCCTTTTTCACTGGTAACCATTTTATACATCATATCAGCACTAGGAAAATCCGTCAAACACTGCGTTCTCTATACGCAAATAAACCACCCGGTCCGGACGGTATTCCAACCACCGTCCTCAAAATGTGTGCTCCCGAGCTAGCTCCTGTTTTACGGCGTCTTCTCAGTCTGTCCTCCAACTTTCTTCCTTTCCAACCCCATGGAAACACGCCGTGATTTTTCCCATTCCCAAACGAGGCGACCTTTCTGACCCCAACAATTACCGACCCATTCCCCTCACATCTGTTCTTTCGAAAGTATTTGAAACTACCATCTCTGACCAGCTGCGCACGTTCCTTGAACGTGAAGGACTACTGAGCGACCGCCAGTATGACTTTTGACCGCGTCGTTCCACTGGTGACCTGCTGGCTCTTGTCTCACAATCATGGTCAGCTCCACTCGATAACCGCAGAGAAACACACTTGGTCTCGCTTCAAATCTCAAAGGCCTTCGACCGAGTTTCGCAAGAACAACTCGTGTTCGGGTTCCCTCCGGCGCTCGTAGCGTAGATATCAAGTTTCCTCAGTAACCGAACCATCTCCGTCCGAGTTCATGGGGTTCTATCTCAGACATTACCTGTGAACGCTGGTGTCCCCCAACATTCTGTAATTGCGCCCACCCTCTTCCTTCGATTTATCAATGATCTTCTATCCCAAACTACATACTCGATCCATTATTTTGATGATGACGTCACCCGCCACTGATCCCTCTCCTATCGCAATGCTCCCCTTGCCCAAACCAACATCGACGGTCACCGTAGTGCAGTTAATGTGTCACTGGACTCCGAAATCTCGAACACATCTCCTCCTGGGGAATTGCAAACCACGTCTCGTTCGATAGTTCTAAAACTTCCCTCATTCATTCTCCCCTCATTTATCTTTTGATTTCACTCAACCACGTTCCACAGACTCTGTTTCTCTCCTTGGACTGCCTATAACTTCTTATTTATGCTAGCCCCCTTTTATAACCAAGCTTGCTTCTCGTGCTGCTCGCAAGGTTGGATTTCTATTCCGCGCCGGAC